CTTTTCATAGTTAATACAATCATACGTATTGGGATCATTTGTATTAATGTGGACCGGAGGGAGAGGGTGACGAGCATAAGTTTCACTTTCCTTTTTTATTTCAATTCCAACTTTGGTCATGAAGAATATGTTTCTCTGTTGTCCCCGTTCATAAAGCATAAAACGGTAACACTTTATATTAAGGTACACAAATTAACCATCAACTAGTTGTTAATTAACATGCATATTAGCAGTATATTGGCTCTTTATTAGTAATTATAAAACACTTATTAATGCCTTGTTCTACATGACCATATTCTACAAGTACATTGTTACATAAGAATAGATCATATTTGTTAAGTGTTATTATGGGAGAATTACTATTCTTGTGGTACTACTGCCTTATTAGGCCCATATTGAGCAGCGCATATTAAGACCAAAACTCATGTACAACAACTTCCTTACTTGCAACAAATAAGCACTAATTAGAGGGTTATTGAGGAAAAACTCTCAACTAATGGCTTATTACTTGTAGAATATGGTTGAACATTTCTCTGATGTCAGGACGGAGGAGCTCCGCCTATATGGCCAACTCTCCACCTATCAGGGGAATGAGAGGTTGCCGTGGCATGGTAACAGCATGGTAACAGCATGGTAACACGACGCTCGTAACTCGGCCCCCTCCTTTGCAGGGGGGCGTGGTCAGCTGCAGCGCATGCAAAGACAGGGTGAAGGAGAGCAAAATAGAGCGAAATGAGGCATGGCTAAAATGCATGATCTGTTTGGTATTTTGAAAAAGAAAAAGTATAAATATACCTTATATAGGTATGGCCCTACAATATATTATTCAAATATAGCATGATACAGTAGGTCCACTTTAATGTTCATTTTGTTTTATGGTAATGGAGTTTTTAACTCAGTTTGATGTGAGAACTATCAAATGTATGTGAAAAAGTTGTTTAAATCATACACAAGTCAAAGTAACATTTTAATTAAGTTGTAATTAGTAGTACAGTTGTTCAGTGGATGTGGAAGTGTAGCTGTAGTGCTGCAGGAGGATCGTGAGTTTTGTGCGTGTTTTTGAGATGGAATGCCATTATCCTTACCTTCCTATCCCTCTATTTGGAACGTTCTCTCTTCAATCAGCACTTAGCGCCTCACCCTCCCTCCCTTTGTGTTCTCAATGCTCTCTCATTGATCAGGAAGGTTTAGCTGACATCATCGTTCCATCTCCATCTCTCTTTTTAATTCCTTCTATTTTCAACCCCTACTTCCCCATGTTGCTGTGATAAATTATGTACATCAACTATTTGGGCTCTCTCTCCTGCTTGCTTCTCACTGCAAACATTGCTCCAGTACAGTTAAAAAAAAATCTGAAGAAGAAACACTACAAGTCAATGAGTAGCAGTTTAACAATCATTTTACTTGACTTCTCAAAACAATTTAAGGTGAAGGATATTGGGATATACTTTGATGGTAGAGATTTTCTTAATTCTTAAGGCAGTATTTGTCCTCTGTGGATTGATGTAACAGATAAAAGACATTAATTTGATCATTTACAGTAGAGAAATATGCGTGCGACTCAGCCAATCACAGTTCTATAAAGAATGCAATGTTATTCAATGGTATAACCTTAGCACAGTGGTAACGTTTTCATTAAATTGTAGGGAATAGGTTGTCAGAAACAAAATGTTGCTGCGTACGACTTTTACAAGCTTATCCCCTGCCAGCCTTTATAAAGTGAATGGCCTAGTTTAACAATCAATAGCATTGATAGCAACAGCAGTGTTTTGTTTGAGTGACAGTAGGAACAGGATGTCACTGCTTTACCCATGGCTGTGTCCTGCCATATGAAATGCCCTGATACATTAGCATTCCGTTAGAAGACATATCCATGCAACATGTGAAGGCCATGTTTTAATACATCGTTGCAGTGTAAAAAGAGATTGATAAATGATAAACTTGTAAAAATTAAACTAGATTTAGATCTGGCCAAAATACTTACATCTAGCAGTAACTTCTTAATCCACAGAGAAACCTTCAGTTAGGTGTGTAAGAGCTAGCTGCAGCTTTTGATAACCCCTAATGTGGCTGCAGAGCCTCTTTGAGCTCTAACATTTTTAAATTGAGGAGTGAAGTGGGACCAAAGAGGTTTAGTTGACACGTTATATTACTCTTTGAGAATAAATGAGTAGAAGTTGAATATAAAGCAGATTGGGGAGATGCTGCAGAGTTTATATTGTCTAAACATCTTTTTATTGCCTCTGTGATGCTTTATTCTGCCGTTAAAGTTGCACGTTTATAAAGTAAATTGCCTAGTTATTTTTATTAATAGTGGATTTTTTGTTATTTGTTCTAGTTATTGCTAGTGATGTTAGGGTTAGGGTTAAGCAATATGGTAATGTTTGTAATTGATCAGTTGTATACTCAAGGTAAACATGCTTAGAAATGAATGTATTTTTTGTTTTAACATCAAAGTAGCAGCACTTCTACATGAGTAATATATTCCAGTTCTCGATCCATCCCTGGCCTGCAGCATTAGCTGTACTAGCTTAATTATAACAGGTGGCCAGCCATTTTCTTTGCCAGCCCAAGGGAGGCAGAGCAGGATAAAGCCAGCATTTTATCTACATTGGACAGTTAGTCCATAGTTAAGGCTGTAATAAATCTTGCTGACATAAATTCAGTGAACACCCCTGTAAACAAGGACTTGTGTTTGACCTAATGGCTCACACTGTGATATTACACATTTATTTCAGATTTGATGTGACTGTCAGAATATTTTCTTCCTTGATTTACAGCTGTGTCTTCTGATTGTGTGTGTGAAAGAACTATTTTTGGTGCCAAATACATCACATGACCTGCATTTACCACTGTTGCAACTCAGCCAATTCACTACAGCCCTGTGCTGTTCCTGGGGCTTGTTCCAAATATATAAGTGGGACATACAGCTTCCAACTATGGTGTATTGACCCCAGAACTGCACAGGACCTGATGTTACTTCCTTAGCTAATACATTCATCCATATTCAACCATATATAGAGTGGTGCAGTGATGACTCATTTTTGTTGACCAACCTGGAAGTTAGCATCCGAGGGCTGCCTCACCAGAAAGCCACCAGGATTTTTCAATTGGATTATTGCAGGGAATAACATAATTGGCAAACACACATTATGATAACTACGTACATGTTTTGTTCTGCAGGATTATGTCCACATAGCTAACTACATCGCGGTCACATGCTTTCACATCACCACCGCTAAGCTAAAGGTGGCTAATATTTGGCATTATGACGTTTAAAAAGCCTTATTTAGTCACTAATTAGCCATTTTTTAAAACAAAAAAGCTTTCACAAGTGGGGCATTTACTGACAGTTTTTTTGTCGTAGAACAAAAAGTGAACATCTTGCAAGCTTGTATATCCACTAAAAAATGGTTGACTTTGGGATTAGGGATCCGAAAGTGGTAAAATGCTAACTCAATATCAGGTTTTAGAACTCAGTCCTGCACCGCTCTCTGCTGTCTTCATGACCATATACCTTATTTAAGGCATCCGACCAAAAACTCAGTCATAAAACCATTGACTTTGACATTGACAGCTGGTTCTGGCTGCCCACAGGGGTCTTAGGAGCCCACATTACCTCCACAGGGAGGCTTCTTGCAGGACTTGCAGTTCCACTCTAAGCTCTTTGCAGATGTTCAAGCTCTTCACCCTTTCTCTAAGGCCACTTTGTGAAATAAACTTATTTCAGCTCATTGTTGGAATGTAGATCCTTGGTTAGTGGTTGGGTTTGCCTTCAGGCTAAGCTCCCTCTGTACCGGAGCACTCAAGTATAGCACCCACATTACTGCTGACATGGCAGTAATCTGCCTGTCAATCTAATCTATCCCATCCAACCGAATTCAAAAGTAGAATAAACTCTTAGATAAATAAGTAGGGAGTCGGATGAATATATAGCTCTATGGTTTCATTACTAGCTATTACATTTGAATGAATATCATTATAAGAGAACAAATGAGAAACTAATATTGCCAACAAGCTTTTTGACCAGAAATCCAACTGTCTTGCATCATCTGCCTTGCTCTTCTTTAACAATGTTTTTTGTGTTTAAAATGCATGCTCTGCCAAAAATAAGTTCCGCTGATATCAAATCATGCCCTCATAATTAATCGTCAGACAGCAGCCAGCGATCAAGGTGTTTTTATTTTAATTTTCTAATTTGTTTTGGCTGGTTTAGTAAAGGTGTCTCTCTGCTTTTACTATGAGTTTTACAGTACCCCAGATTAAGCATGATAAATAATTGTGATCTTAATAATGATACAAAGAAATATGATAAAAGGTGCTTTCTAATTGAAAATGGCACTTTGAAATGGAAAGGTTTTTCTATATTTGAAAAGATGTGTTTGTAATGTTATTGACCAAGATGGCCCCATATAACAAATCCCAATGTAACCCCTGACCGTGCCATATTTTGTACGTTGTCATGCAAGCTGTATTTATCGAATCTCTGCATGTTAAAAAGTAGAGTACAAGTACTGCTAAACTTTTTTAAACTGTTATTACCTACGAGGTTGTGTTCTCAGTTTGCTGGATGTGTGTGCAGGGAGGATTACATTACACTTAAGGAAAGGCTTTTGTTGAGATATGAACTAAACACAACTAGCTTCTGTGTAAACATGTACAGGTTATCAAATGTTTTTCTTATTTCTCTTAGAGAGCTTCCTTAATCTCCCAGGACACACACCAATGCAGTGAGAGCAAAGAAAGGGGATAGCTCAGTTAAAAAAGGCCCTGAACTTACATTCAAAGCTAAACAGGAAGATACAGAGTGGTGTTTGAAACTCTTAAAAGCCTCCTGGGCCTCTACTTGGCCTCCACTATACCTCCACTTTACCACTTTCAATCCTCACCTTTGTAGGATTTTTTCCCTTCATGCCACTCAATTTCAATGATAGTCATCATCCTGCCTCTCACTTGGGTATTCTTTAAGTTATCTCAACACTTTGTTTCTCCCACAACAGGAGCTAATGCGTAGCGCGCTGTGTGTTTCCCTGCAGCAGGCAGAAGAGGCTGCACAGACGGAGGTTTCCCAGCTTCACCTGCAATCCAGCATCTCGTCGGAGAAGCAGCAGCCCAAGAGGTTACACGTCTCCAACATCCCTTTCCGTTTCCGAGATCCTGACCTCCGGCAAATGTTCGGGGTGAGATGACAACTGCACTACACTCGCATGCACACACACACACACACACACACACACACACACACACACACACACACACACACACACACACACACACACACACACACACAACGCTATTAAAGTGAGATATGCTACACTACAGGGCAATCATAAATATCTAGGTGGAATGTCGCTCACCTTACAGCACTGTACTCCTGCTCTTGCCTGTAGGCTCCTGTCAAGAACAGTAGCACATGCAATCTTAGAAAGATACATGACAAGGAAATGCAACACTAGAATCATGAGAAAAGTAAATCATAAATGGGAGATCAATTATGAGCAGATGAACTAACTGTATCAACTTCTAATATAGTGTATAGTATTTAATAGGCTGTAAACCCCTTAGTTTTCATTGTGATGTAATGTCTCAAAGAAATGAAATGCATAAATGAATAATGATTTTAAGTTGTGTTACAGTTGCTCCATTTTAGAAGGAAAACTATTAAAAATTCAATAGAATAAATGAATAAAAACATAAAAAAATGAAACTTAGAATGTCCAATACAAATATTGAATTGAATCAAATAAAAAAAGTATATAATGTATGTTAGGGAATAATTTGCTTAGGTATTCAACCTTCGACACAGTTCATCATTTTCTCTCCTCACTGTCTCCTTTCCCACGGCATAGGACTACGGCCTTGGGTATTGCTGCTATCTCTCTTAAGGAGGAGCATCTTGGGCGCATTGTTGTTGCCAGTCTATGACAGAGCACAAGCCGCCATGAGGTAGTTTACTGTTCAGGGACGAAGGTTCCCTGGCGCACATTCTTTTCTATGGACGAGAGCTCTAGTTAGATTCAGGGTCCATAATTGTTTAGTCTCGCTGATAAAGAATGTTGATTATTACACTCCGAACTAGTTAAAACCTCGAGCTGCAGAAGAGTTCTTCAGAATTGGTTTGGCAACCGCTGTTTCAACTCGTGACACACCACCTGTCTTGTCAATTCTCCGGCCGTAACTCCAAATAAACCACCAGTGTTTGCCATCAAAGCTCCAGCTCTCCTCGTGCCTCTCTGAGTCCTGTTTCTAATTGCTTCAGAAGTTTCCCCCACAATGTAAACATAAGAAATTAAAGTAAAATGTCCAATAAAACAAAATAGAATAATACAAAAAAATAATTCTATTTGCATCTAGATTAATTTACGCTTAAATGTAAAGCTTTCACACAACATGGTCCTTTAAAAAAGACTGGAAGTGGAGAAAGTAGCAAAAAGAACATACTCGGAGTCACTGCTACAATAACAGAATGCTATAGTGTCTGAAGGGGGGAACATAATATTGAACCAATCACTTATTTATCAATCAGCCAACTTGTGTTCAAATCGATTAATTGTTGCTGAATTCAGAGAATTTATCACAGTGTCTTTAAATCCTCACCTCCCATAAACAGCTCTCCAGCTCATCACAGAGGAGAACGGGGAGTCAGTGTTGGAATCAGAACATCAGGGAAGATCAAAGACGGGGCTTGTGAAATGCTTTCATGAGCATTTTCAGCATATTTAGCAAAAAATGTGTTTGCAAACAAAAGAGCCAAAATTAGCCATGCACAAAACTTTAAATAGAACTCATTCATAAAACTGGCCCCTTCATTGAGTAGAACATGATGTGCTTGAGTCTAGAACAGCAACTAGAATTGTCTCCATTCAGCTCTGTGAAGCTGTAAATAATTCACACCTTTACCTCCGTATGACCCCTAACCCAAATTACCCGGATCCTTTTTAGTGTTTCCATGTCCCTCTTTAAGTGGTCCTTGGAGAGTTTGAGTGGTGGTAGTTCTTCAACTCTTTGCTAATAAAACATTGTGTTTACAAGTATAATACAGGAAATGTACAGGGAAGTAATTATTTAACTTAAATAACTGTTAAATAATTGATTATTTAATTATAAAATAATTGTAAAAAGTTGTTAATCCACCATTGGATGGAGAGAAGTCTCTGCCGCGCAAATGCATCTCTGCATATTTGAATATCTAAGTGAAATGGACTAAGGTGGAAAAAAGATAGGGGACAGCTAGTACCATACTGAATAATTGATGACAGCCTAGTAGTGTGTGTGTGTGTGTGTGTGTGTGTGTGTGTGTGTGTGTGTGTGTGTGTGTGTGTGTGTGTGTGTGTGTGTGTGTGTGTGTGTGTGTGTGTGTGTGTGTGTGTGTGTGTGTGTGTGTGTGTGTGTGTGTGTGTGTGTGTGTGTGTGTGTATATGTGTGTTCAAAGCAATTGCAAGTGTTCCTGATTGTTTTCATACCTTAGAAACCTGAAACTTGGTCCCCAATGCAGATAAAAAAACAGTACGTGTGTATTTGTGAGCGGTAAACATGCTATACTGTTTGTGTGTGTGTGTGTGTGTGTGTGTGTGTGTGTGTGTGTGTGTGTGTGTGTGTGTGTGTGTGTGTGTGTGTGTGTGTGTGTGTGTGTGTGTGTGTGTGTGTGTGTGTGTGTTGTGTGTGTGTGTGTGTGTGTGTGTGTGTGTGTGTGTGTGTGTGTGTGTGTGTGTGTGTGTGTGTGTGTGTGTGTGTGTGTGTGCGCAAAGCAGTTGCAGTTGATTTTTGCATACCTCAAAACCTTGGTCCCCATACAGAAATGCAGTCCCCGATTCAGATAAAAACCAGTATGGGTGTGTGTGTGTGAGAGAGAGAGAGAAAGAGCACCCAGGTGAAGTTTACCTATACATGCATGCAAACACTAACACACAATTTCACATTACTGAGTATAGATTACCTGTCACACATCCAGCATTAACATTTAATATACTATAATAAGACTGGAGATTTACCCCCCTTGAACACCACCACCCACCTTCCCAATTCCTCTAATAGAGCGGAACATCTGCTCCTGCAGTCACCTTGTTCCAGGAGGAGGGGGATGACCTCCTCGACTTTTCCAGCCTCACAGCTCTCGATTTGACCCATCAGTGGAGACATAATTAATTGGATTCCTTAGCGAGGTTAAAAGGGAGTTTATCCTAATTAAGTATAGGGTGACAGCTCCAGTTATGGGTGAGCTATGTGTTTAGATTTGTGTTTTAGCGTGTGTATTCTTGAAAAGGCGTGAAACTTTTTCCCAACAGTCATTTAGTGAGGTCTCCAGGGCACAGGACACTGCACCACAATTACCCAGTGACATCATCAGGTAGAGGTGAAGTACAGATCGTGAGAAAGAAAGAAACAGACGGATAGGGAAGCAGGAGAAAGGAATTAGAAGAGACAGACAATCCGGTAGCTCTCACTACAATCAGTGGTGCTAAGAGGTCACCCAGTCCTGTTAACAGCACCATCACAAAGACTGAGCATCCAAATCCCTGGGCCAGGAAACCTTTCCATCAAAACAAGTGAACATTTATCCTTCATGCTGCTCTATTAAACAGCAAACATAGCAAACAATTGATATTCACAGTTTTATGACAATGAATACAACATACTTGCCGTTCAACCTAATAATAATTCTGTTTTTTCACAATTTAGGGTTATTTAATAGTTTTCACCATCTTTTCTATCAGTAAAAGTGAAAATTAAAAAGTAATATTCTATGACTAAATACCCTTTTAGACATGTACTTTTGTGCAATTAAAATGTCAAAACATTCAAGTGAAAGCAGCTGAACAAGGTTAGATACACAGGGATAATGAATGCACATTCACCTTATCAAAAGCTTACAACTGTAAGTAGCCATTTTGAAGTTGAGGATATTCTTATCATGTAAGATCATTTTAAGATGCTTTTTACTGGTCTCCTGTTTTATTGTGAGGTTTCCCTCCATCTGTGTCATGTCTGCTTTTACTTCCTGTCTTTGTGTGTTTTCCCGCCTGTTTGATTATGTGTCCTGGGGCCTCATTTATAAAGGGATATACGCTCAAAAAATGGCATACGCCAGTTTCTACGCAATGTTTGCGATTTATAAAATACTAACTTCGATTGTCGATTGTGATTTATAAAGGGAAACAGGCGTAGGAAGTGCCATACGCACTTCCCTCGCCGGTACGCAATGTTTTGTGAATCGGAAAATGTCAGAACATTTCTGTACCTATTTTTTTGCTTTGTACTACGTAAGCAACCTTCCCACGTGAATCCTACGCAAGGCGTTATAAATGAGGCCCCTGGCCTTATTCGTTTCACCTGCTCCCCTTTAGCCCTGCAATCACCTGAGCACTTCACCCCTCATTAGTTCAGATTCTGTTTGAGTCCTGCTTAATCTTTGTCAGATTCTTGCAACGTGTAGTTCTGTCCTGTTCTTTTTTGGTATTTTTTCTCATTCATTTGGGTCCTTCCTTCTCTACAACCCGTGACGCTTTGTGTGCCCATCGTTCTGACAACGCTCCCAGATCTCAGCAACTAACTTGATGTGTATAATACTACTATCAAAGTTAGAAATTATCCACACAACTATAAATAAAGCAAAGACTGCCTTTTTAAAGACCCTCTACTCATCTGCATCAAAACAATGAAATAAGAGTTAGTCATTTTTGTCAAAGGTCTTAAAATGATATAGTTTCAACTAATTTCATGGAATTCTGTTGGCAGCAAAAATGTCTTCAGTATAGTGAGTCAGTTTCTTTTTAATTACATTGTAAAAGAATAGTTAACCTATATTTCTTTTAGGCTTTCTAGAAAAGTTTTTAATGAAATTCTGACCCAGCAACTCTCAAACCGCTGTTTTTTCTCACATAGCAGTTTAATCAATTTGATTCACTGTTTTCTGCGATAGCAAAGAACGTAAAAGACAAACAGGCACGTTTAGTTTACACTCTCATAACCAACTTTTCTCTTTTCTGTCTTTTAATGGTCCAACTTTGAGGATTAATGGTTGTTGGCATTGCATTTCAGATACCACATCCAGATTTGCCACAATAGGGCTCCAGTGACACTGTACCCCATTCACCTAAAATGAGACTTGTGAGCAACTGGCTCAATCTCCCATTATGGTTCTGCTAGACTACCACCACAATGCAAACAAAGGCAATAGCTA